GGCCTCGGTTCCCGTCCCGAGCGGCGCCGACCTAGCGCTCCCTCCCCGGCCGTCGTGGAGGCCGTCGTGGAGGTCCGGGCACGAGCTCAGAGAGTGGGCCTTCCCACAGCCGTGGGGCGTCGGGGACACCAAGGGGAGGGCAGGGAGGAAAGGCCAAGGGGCAGAGGCCGGCGCGTCCCCACAGGCTGTGAGGGGAACCGAGGCCACGACAGACGGATCCTCGGAGCGGGAGAGGCTGAAAGAGAGCCCGGGACGGTGAGGCCCTTCAGACAATCGCCACAGCTGTCACCACCCAGGACAGCAGAGGAAAGGGAGGGGACCGGGTCACTAGAGCGGTGTCACTAGAGTCCGGAAGCTGGAGCCACCCAGCAGCAAAGCCACCCAGACGAGGTCACTGCCTGGAGCAGAGACAGCGGGAGAAATCCCCCGGCTCCTCTCCGGCTCCGCCCCCAAACTCCCACCGCAGCTTCTCATTGGCTGAACAGAGAAGGGAGCCAGTGCGCATAGGAGCCTGGGAAATGTAGTTTTCAAAAGTCACCTCCTCCACCACAGGGAGAATAGGGAAGGACAGGGGAGGGACACCAGGGGAAATGACCCGCATGCAAGACTTGAACCCTGGTTGCCTCTCTCTAAAGTTGTCTCGACCATCAGGCTATTTACTTATGAGACATTTGGTCAGGTCAACTGTCCCATTTTGTCCCCATAAGAAGCCTCTGATCAGCGACAGAACTGGATTCTTAGTCATAGTTAAGAGTCTAGCTAAACAGTCACCTCCTCAGGGAAGCCTTCCTTGATTGTCTCCTTCTGAGTCTTCCTCTCCCTGCATGGAAACTTGTTATGAGAGAAACCATTTGTTGGTTAGTGTAGTGTGTGACTTAGGCAATGGATGTCATTTGTCGGAAGCCCCCAGAGTGACAGTATTAGGAGGTGGTGGGACCTCTAAGATGTGGGGCTAGTGAGAGGTGATTGGGGCACTGCCCCTGGAAGGGAGTAAGGTAATCCGGTGTGTCAGGAGGGGGAGGGAGGGAGACTGGTTAGTTCTCTCCAGAGGGTTGTTACTTAAAAAAAAAAAAAAAAAAAAAAAAAAGGCTGGTCCCTCTCCTTGATTTCCTGTCTCTTGATTTGCTCTTTCCCCCTCACATGTGTTCCTGCCGCTATGACACTGTGCATTCTGAGGTCCTCATTAGAACAGAGCCAATGGCAGCACAGCACCTTGAACCTCCAGCACTGTGAGCTACACAAACCTCTTTTCTTTATAAAGCTCCCCAACCTCAGGTAAGTTATTATGAACATACACTAATGCAATGACTAGAGGAAAGTAGACAAGGACAGGGGCGTCACTCTCTGTCACTCCATGTTCCCAATGCCCAATACAACACTAAGCACAGGGCAGATGTGAGCATCAATGTTCGAACAATTTTTTTCCATAATGCTGGGAGGCGGTGCTGCTCGCTGTCTGCATTCAGAGGCAGAGTGGGTGAGAGCCGGGCCGCGGGGCTGTACAGAAGCTGGTGTTTCTAGGTGCCCCACTGCCATGACCCCAGGAGGACTCCCCCAATTCCGTGCTCCCTTCAAAGCTACCTGGAGGAAGACCTTCCATCTCTGAAGCCAGGCGGGAGCACCGTTCCCCTCCTGGGTGGTTCTCCACTGTTGCCGGCGCCCCCTCTCTTACAAAGTCCTTCACTGTTCTTGTCCTTGGCTAGCTGGGCATCTGTGTGGCCCAGGGACCTTGAGCTCCAAGGCGGGGCCAGGACCTGCTGGACAGAGCAGGCCTGCGTCAGAGCAGGAATGAATGAATGCTCTGCACGCTCCACGTGTCCATGTGACCTCCCTCCCCCGTGCCTTCTGTCCTCTTCTGTCAGCCCTTCCTTCTCCCTCTCCCCTCCAGGGTGCACACGGGGTCTCTGGGTTTTGAAGGTTTCTCGGGGTCTACGGCAGTTGACTGTGGCTTTGAAGCACACAGACCCCAGAGCCTGACGAGTTCTGGCTTTTCCACTTTCTGGCTGTGTGACCTTGGGTAAGTGATCTCACCTCTCTGGGTCTCGATTTCCTTGAAGATGGGGGTGGCAGCCGTGCTTTCTTTTAGCGCTGGGGAAAATCAAGTCTCCCTGACCTCTTTGAGGGCAGCGTCTCCTCCTCATGGCCCCCTTTTGGCAATTCCCAGGCAAATCTGGGAAGTGAAGGGCTGAGTCTCTGGCAGCTAATGAATCCGGAAAGGATCTCAGCTGTGTCAGGGGAGTCCCAGTGCCAAGTTGGCCTGGTTTTCATCCCGGGAGAACTGAGAACAGGCTCTGGTGTCAGACATCCGCACTGTGATTGGCACTAATGTTTGGTGCTCCCGTGACCCTTCGCGTTGGGGGCCGGGGATGTTGGAGCTGCTCTTGGGGTTCTGCCTGGATCCCCTGCTGCCGAGAGGCGAGAGGCGCTCGCTCCACAGCTGCTGACCGCGGAGGCTCATTGCTAGCAGCTGTGACCTCTGGAGATCTTCCCTGGGCTTTTGGGAACCATTGTACCCTTGGGAGGTGTCCCCCACTGCCAGAGGCAGCCATTACTGATACATGGGAACAAAAATCGGCAACGTCTGTTCTAGAGTGTTCCCAGCCCTGGGGATCAGGCCAAGCTTGGGCTGTACCTGGGACCTGGTCTTGGCTTCCCCCCTTCCCTTCCAGGACCCGCTTCCCTCACCCCTATTAATCATCAGCTCCAGACCCTGTCTCCCACTCAGGATCTCAACCTCAGAGGGGAAATGATGAACACCACAATAAGGGGGTATTTCTGCAGGTGCTCCTTCAAGCTCCCATGCACACCGGGCACCCGTTCTGTCATTTCCATCTAAATAGGTAATCCATCAAGCAAACCCGAGCAGCTCCTACTTTGACATGCATCCCAAATGCTGCCCAGTCCACCCACCCGCAGGTGCAGTCCCTGTGCTGCTCCGGGCTGGGCTGGCCCTGATGGGCACAGTTCTGCATAGAACTGCTCCACCTCCTGCCTACAGGAAACTTATTTTACTTCTTGGTTTTCCCTGCTGCGATAGGTCCGCTCCTCAAGGGAGGGGATTTTTATTGCTCTGTTCATGAACTGTGAGCTCAAATCAGAATCATGCCAGGCACATAGTAGGTGCTCAAGAAACATTTGTACAATCAGTGAATCCTTTTCAGTGAAGTCACTTGGAGACATATTTCATCTCACACTAATCCGTCAGTTATCTCTCTTACCTCTACTCTAGGAGCATATACCCATTTCTCCCCGCTCTCAACTGCCATCTCCAGGATCTGGCCCTGTCATCTCTCACCTGGACAGGTGCAGTAGCCAGCTCTGCCCTGGTCCTCAGTTCCCACCCTCACCTCGCTGTTCTCCCCACAGCCACCAGAGGGCACCTGAATACCTGCATCATGGCCCCACCCTCTGCCCAGAGCCCTCCACAGCTCCCATCTTGAACATGTCCCCCAAGGCTCACATGTCAGAACCGTAATTCCCAAATTCATTTGTTGATGGTAGCTGCAGGTGGGGCTCCGGGGAGGCAGTGGGTCTGATGAAGTAGTGACAGGATCGGTGCTTTTCTAAAGAAGGGGAAGGGAGCCGCGAGCCCTGCTCCCTGTCTCCTGCCTCCACACTCCACGCACGCGCCTTCCTCCTCAGGGCTCTGCACGGGCTGTTCCCTCTGCCTGAAATGTCCTTCCAGTTCCTTCAAGTCTTTACTCAGATGTCATTGTTTCAAGAGGCCCCGTCTGGCTGGTCGGAACTCCTGGGGTCCCAGCAAGCCCTGCACCTTTTCTGCGCCCCACATGCCAAATCGCCGAAGCACTCATTTTGCAGGCTGTCTTTCCTCCCTTTAGAATGTCAGGCAGGTGTTTTAAACCCATTTTTACTGACTGGTGTGTCACCCTCACCTAGAATAGAGCACCTTGCACACAGCAGGTGCTTGGTGGCTGCTTGTTATTTTGACTGTGTGTGGGGGGTGGGTACTGGGGATCAAACCCAGGCCCTCACACAGGCTGGGCAAATGTTCTCCCCAGCACATTCTTACTTGTTCTATTTTGTTTGGGAGATGGAAGCAGGGGCACTCAATCACGGAGCCACTTTTTTTAAAAAAAATTGAGACAAGATCTTGCTAAAGTGCTTAGGGCCTCACTAAATTTCTGAGACTGACCTTGAACTTGAGATCCTCCTGTCTCAGCCTCCCGAGTGCTGGGGTTACAGGTGTGTGCCACTGCACCCAGCACGTTTGCTATTTTTAAAACTCTGCACCACAGCTCTGCAAGGCAAGGACTCTCAACGTGCCTCTTATGTAGATGGGACTGAGGCCATACAAGGTGTCCTGCTGAGATCATGGGTCAGGAGGTGGCCGCATGGGCTGGGACCTGGGCTTCTCTACCGTGGTGCATGATTGGTGGTGCATGATTGTGTGTGGCTGGGCGCTGTGTGACCGCGTGCGGCTGGGCGCTGTGTGTGCTGCTCTGAGCAAGAGTGGCTGTCGCTGCTGGAGGGTAGACAGGGGGAGGCTAGACAGGGGGAGGCTAGACAGGGGGAGGCTAGACAGGGGGAGGCTGCCTGCATATGCTCAGGTCCACTTTGTAGGGTGCCGTGTGTGTGTGTGTGTGTGTGTGTGTGTGTGTGTGTGTGTGTGGAAGGGAGACGGTGGCCGGCCCAGGCAGGAGTGAGCACGTGTCTGTGTGCCTAGCTGGGTGTGAGTGCACGCACGTGTGCAAGGGTAGCTGTGGAGGCTCGGTTGGGGTCGGAGCTGAACTTGAAGGAATCAGTGGGTGAGGGAAGAACCCCATCAGCCACAGGCCTGTTATTTATAGATGGATCCTGGTTCATAAATTCCAAATGTTTTTTTTTTTTTTTTGTCTCCCTCACTGCCAGGCCCCTATAAATATTCATGAGTTTCCTGCCTTGGAATATTTGAGTAGTCACAGGGGGAGCAGGGCTGGCCGGGGAGAGGGGCGGAGAGGGTCCCTGGTGGTGCTGGGGGGGGGCGCGGGAGGAGGCCGGGGTCTCTCTGGGTTTGCTCCCCCCTGGGCTTCCCTCCCAGGCTGCAGCTGGCAGGACGAGGCAGGTTCTCAGCCAACGCAGAGACCTTCCAACGCCCATTATGATTCTTCCCAGTGTCTGTGGAAAAACACCGCCCACTCCCGGGCCAGGGAAGGTGTTTGTGCTGCTCTGTCTCCAGCTCCAGCTCCAGGTGGGAAAGCTAATTACCCTGGGCCCCCTCCACAGAGGCCAGGGGACCCTCTGATGTTCCCAGGCCAAGGGGGCCCTGGAGGAAGGTGTGCGTGGCTCATCTCACCAATGGTGTGGGTCAGCAGGGCTGGACGGCAGGGGAAGAAACTGTGTGTGCATGCACACGTGTGCACGTGCATCTAGGAGTGTGTGACTTTCTTGAGCGCGTGGAAGTGCAGTCGTGGAGCTGTTGGTGTTTCGCAGTTCTTTTCTCCTGGGCAGATGATAGGACTGTACTTCACCAGTGTGGCCACGTGACTGCCGCCTCAGGAGTGGAAATTACTTCCAGGAGAAAGCTTCAAGAGGTGGCATGTGATTTGCCCTGTTCTTGCATCAATAATTGAAGTCATCTGGGTTAATGCAGAGTCCCCACCAGCAGGGTTCCCAAGTGACCAGACAAGGCAGAGACCCCTAACGACCCTCAGGCAGCAGGAGTCAAATCTCACTTGTCTGCTCCATGGTACTGAGACTTGGGAATGGTTTTGTTACACAGCGGAGCGTGGCCTATACTGACCAGCACAGAACGTGTGAGTGGGTGAGACTGAGGTGTGGCACATCTGTGTCCAGGGACCCAGGATGGGCACGAGTTACAGCTACGTGTATGCTCACATGTGTGAGCCTCAGCGAGTGCATGAAACCAGTGTACAATGGCAGAAAGGGGCTGAGTAAGGGTGTGCAAGCCTGCGCGTGCAGATGTGCAGCTGAGCGTGAAGGGCAGGGCTCTGTACCGCACAACCCCAGGGGCACTGCCTTGGAGCAACGCTGTATCCCCAGAGTTGCACACATTGTAGACGTGAAAGTGGCCAGCGTGAGAGGCTGTCAGTGTGCCAGGGACCTAAGGGTGGTGTGCCTACAGGGCCACCATGTGATCTGTGCACATGTGTGTGAGGGCGTGTATGTCAGTGTGCGATGCTTGTGTTTGAGGCGTGCGTATGGGTCTGTGTGGACACGTTTGCACGCGTATCTGCTACAGTGTGAACATGTGAATCCCTGCGTGTGATGAGCCCAGGCCTGTCAGAGTAGTCACGGGGACACGGGAGGAGGGACGGCGCCCCCACCCCCACCCCCCTGAGCTAAGCCTGTTTCCAGGCTCCTGGGTTGCGCTGGGTCAAATTCCGACCTAGGAGGACCTGGCATGGCAAGATGAAATTCTCTTCCCCTCCTGGGTCTTGGGACATTTCAAGTCATTTGCAGTGGTTCTTAGTCCCAGAGGTACTCAACAGTTTGGGCAAAGTGGTTCAACTAGTGGGGAGGGCAAACCCGGGCCCCTTCCGCTCCCCCGAGGTAAATCATTTCCTGTCCTGTCCATGTGGGTGCTGCTCTGATCTAGTCAGGGTTCCGCCTTGGTCTGTCCCAGGGTCTGGGTTCGTTCTTGTCCACCTTAAGTCCACCGAGTAGCCCTGATCTACCCAGGATTTGGATTTGGGGCTGATCTCCTAGCACCAGGCTTATTTTGGTCCAGCCCTAGAGCCAAGTTCAGCCTGTGTCTATCCGGGGCTTCAGCTTGACCTAGAAGACAAGAGCCACCAGGGAGTATCGTAGCCCTCAGATTGTCCCGGGCCTCGAATGTACCACCACCTTGGGACCCGAGCTGAGCCTGGTCTATCTCAGGGGCCTCCTGGCCCTGGCTGAACTTTCCCAGGTAAGTGAGAAATTCACAGCCAAGGGGTCACGTCCACAGCACCCGTTGCTCACAGAACACTCAGGAACTCGTGGATAAGTGTCCATTGCAAATGACTGGTGTGTCCCAGGATTAACGAGGGTAAGGAGATTTTATTTTTCCAAAGTCATTATCTGAAGTTCATTAAGTTGGATTTTATGGGTCTTTTTTGAGGATTATTATAAGGGGTTCTTGATTTGCTATGCTAAATGGCATTGATCTTCAGGAGTTGGGGACTTCATGAGAACCCATCATGGGGTCTTACTCATAGATGCTGGAGTTGGAAACCCCTCCATCTGGGCTGTCCCCAGGCTCGGTTGCCACGCCGCACGCTTGGCGCACTGGTGGAGCATTGCAGGGAGCTTTCTTCATGGGTGTGACGGGGCGGTGTGTGTGTGTGTGTGTGTGTGTGTGTGTGTGTGTGTGTTCGTGCACCATCACAGGCCAGCACACGCTCAACCGAAAGGCTCAGAACCTTCCATCTCCTCCAACCATCCCTGGCCTCACTCCAAACCTCCCAGAGGAAATCAGAACCACACCATGAAGTCCCCCTTCTCCCTAGTGACAAGTGGCCAACTTCTGTCTCATTCTGTCCTCTCCTTCTTCCAGGGTGAGAAGCTCTTTCTCATTCTGCAGTTCTAGTTGGATCCCTCCGCCTTCTTGGGACTCCCAACAAACCATCTCGTCTCTATCCTGCTTATTCAACCCCTCGCAAGCGGAACTTTGTCACTCGAGGGCTTCCTAGGAAAGAAGACAGACCAAGCCGCCTCGCTTGACCCCCTCTACTTCTCCCCCCCTTTCTAAGCTGCCTCCATCTCCCCGCTTCCTGCTCTGGCTTCTCTACCCCTTCCCCTGGTTTCTGATCCTCAGCTCCTGCCAAGCCCACCAGGGGCCTCCACGTTTCCACACCCAGGCGATGCCTGTGGCTCACCATCTTTCTGAACCCTGGCTCCGCTGACGTCTCTTTCTCTGTACATTTCCTTGGCCACCATGACACATGTGGTCTGGGCACCTCTCCTGGAATCCGTGAGTTGGAAACTTAATCCCCAAAGTTCCTGGGCTCCTGTTATTTGGAAGTGGTGGCTTCAAGAGGTGCTTAGGTCCTGGAAGCTCTGCCCTAATGGATTCATCAATCCGCCATGGATCAATGGGTCACAGAGGGCCTTGTGATAAGAGTAGTCTCTCTCTGGGTAGCCGGCTCTGGCTGGCCACGCGGCGCCCTCCACCTCATTGGGATGCAGAGGAAGGCCCCCGCTGGCACCATGCTCTAGACTTCCCAGCCCCCAGAGCCTCGAGTAAATGAATATCTGTTCTTTATAAATCACCCAGCTTGTGGTATTCAGTTATAGCCACAGAAAACAGACTGAGACACATCCTGCACGGCTCCCTCCTATGGCAGACTCGTCCTCCTCTACCCGATGATTAAATGGACTCAGGTTTCTCCATCTCAGCACAGATAACCCCATTCTGTGCAATCGATGTGAGCAGCATCTCTGACTTCTACCCACTAGATGCGCGCGGTGTCCCCCTCTCCACACTGAGAGCAAGCTCTCCGGGCAGGGCCAGGGGTCCCCTGGGGGAGTAGTGGCCCTCTGGTTGGAAACTGTTGCTCTAGTCTCAGCCGTGGCCCTCCCTCCCCTGCACCTCTCTCTAAAGGTTCCTCCCCCACTGAGACTCCCACGGCCCCCTGCTGCACGCGTTCTCAGAACCCCCCACCCCCGTCCACATGTCCATCCAGCCCCTCGGCTGCACCCCTGCCCCCAGACGTCTCTAAAGCCCTGAATCCCAACAGGCTCAACTCTGAAGGCAAGACCTCTGCTCTCGCACCTTGGTTTCACTCAGTGGCCCCTGAGTCTCCATCTCCATCCCTTCCAGGTAAGTGGGTCAGACACTCACTCGGGCCCTATTTCTACTCGCTCACCAAACCTGGCTGACTCCAGTTCCTAGATCTGAGACGTCACAGATGGTTCTCCACCTCCATCACCATTCAATGGTCTGAGCCATCTTCACAACTTGGAAAGTCCATCTGGTCTACCTCAATGGACTCTCTTTTTTTGCACACCTCAAAAAAAACTTGTACAATGTACCTGTGACCATAATCCTGCAAGCCAAGCCCCATGGAGGGCTCTTTTCACTCTCTGGATACAGATAAACCTCCTTAACAGCCACAGGACCCTGTGGGTCTGCCCTTACTTACCCTCTGCTGTTGTCCTGTACTGACTTCTCACTCCAGGGCCTTCTCTGGGCTGTCATTCTTTCCATACTTCCTCTCACCCCAGGGCCTTTGCATAAGCCATTCCCTCTGCCCAGAGCACTCTTCCCTCTTGGCATCAGATCTCAGCTCTTGCTCCCGGGGCCTTTCCAAATGAGATCAAATCTCCATATCCTAAGTTCCTATGGCACCAAGATCTTTTCTTCCAAGCTGTTATTACAGCGGCCATTCATATTTATTGGGGAATCTGTGATCACTGCCTGCCTCCATTTGACAGGAATCCCCATCTGCCCAAGTCTGCACGGAGGCACCGCTGCTCTCAGGACCAACTTTGAGTGACCCAGTCAGCAGTGGAGGTTCTCCGGGACCTCAGGAGCCGAGCCCCCAGGTGCCAGGTGGAGAATAATAGTTCATCAGAGGCAGGAAGTCAGAACCAGGGTGAGCAAGAGAACACGGCCCCCCCCACGACGAGGAGCCCCCAAGCTGGCATCCATGCTGCACAGGGGACTGAGCCACTGTCTCCTCCTGGCTGGTGACCTGTTGTGTCTGCTGGGGCTCAGCTCCCCATCTTTTACCCATCCCCCAGGCTCCGCCCATCTGCCAACTGCCGCCTGTGTCCCTGTGTCCCTGTCCTGCTGCTCTTTCCCAGTTCCTCAGAACCACGAGCAAGTCCCGAAGGCTCTTCTCCAAAACTTGCTCCCACCTGCCCGGCACCTCCTTTCTGGCTGCCTCCCTCTTGGCCTGGACGGCGCTGGGTCCCACGTGGGCTGTCGCAGTCACCTCCTCGCTGGTCCCATTCCCCAACCCAGTAACTGACAGAGGTCTTAAGCAACAGGAATCAGATCGGACTCTCCTTCCCACTGCAACTCGTCCCGCAGCCCCACGCCACATTGAAGATAAACTCAAAAGCCCCCCCTGTAGCCTGCTGAGGCCCTGACGGCAGCCCCCTGCCGACCTGCGTGTCCTCGCACCTGCCTGTCTCTGGCTAGCTCTGGCCACAGTGCAAGGGCTCTTCCCCACCTCAGGGCCTTTGCACTTCTCCCAGCTCTTCCCAGGGCCAGAGAGCCTGACCCAGTGACCCTGCCTCACGAGGCTCCCCTCACACACGCTCTTTATTTGTGACGTCTGTTGTGCCTCCAGTATGATATCACCCAGGACTCAGGTGGGCTTATTATAGTCCCATCTGTGTCCTGCCACCTACGACACAGCCTGCAGCTCCAGGCAATCGCTGTGTCGCGTGAATGAACAAATGTACAACCTCCACTCCCAGCTCTCCTTCCAAGAGATGCTGCTACCTGTCCACCCCTGCTGAGTGGGAGACCTCCAGAACCAGGGATTCTAAGTGCCCAGGGGTCCTGTCTCGGCTAACTGGACAACGACGGCACTCCTGGTACAAGTTGAAACCTCAACCCCCCTCCCCAGCCTGGGGCGATGGACTTGGAACACAGAGGCCAGGGTGATTGGCAGGTGTAGGGCCATGGACTTGAAGGTCCATGAAGATCGGGGGCTGCAAAACCCGGAGCTGTGGGTAGGTGACATGAGAGGTGCAGAAACAAGAGGCCCAGGGTGGGGGTCATGCCAGGGGAGGGACCCAAGAGCTGGCGCTGCACAGGCTTCCAGAGGGGATTCTCTAGGCCCTTGGATTCGAAGTAATTCCCTGCCGTTGCTGAGATCTGGAACATTCTCCAAAGCCTACATGGGAAAGCTTGGTTCCCAGCTCGGCACAGTGGGTGCTGGTGGACGTGTTAATAGATGGGGTCCCATGGGAGGTCTTAGGCCACGTGCACATGACCTTGAAGGGCACAGGGGCCCCAGTCCCTCCCCTCGCCCTTTCTTTCACGCTCTGGTCCTGGGATGGGTGGTTCTGCCACTCCCTGCCACGATGTGCTCCCTCGTCACAGGCCCAAAAGCAACAGAACCAACCGATCATGGACTGAAAATAAGCATTTTTGCTTTGTAAGTTGATTGTCTCAGGTATGTGTTACAGTAACAGAAAGCTGACGAACACCGTCCCTTGCCACCACCATTCTTTGCCCTGCACTTGGAACCAGACAGTAATTTCTTGTTTGTTTGCAATTGGTCTCTTCCCACCAAATGTCAGCTTGCAAGAGCGAGTGCTGTGTCTGTCTCACGCAGAGTGTGGTATAAATATTTGTTAAATGAATTGATAGAGGAGTAACTGAATGAATGAAAGATGGCCCTCTGGGCCCCTGGAGCACCACCCACTGGGTTTTGAGAGATCCCCTGACAGCTCCTGTGTCCCTGGGCCAGTTAGGGACACCACCCCCCACCCCCACCCAGGCCAACAGGAGGCAATTGAAAATGGAAAGAGACGTCAGGGAAGAGCCAGCCGGTGAGAGGGGCAGAGGGTGATGGCTGGAAGGAGCCAGCTGGAGCAGGAGGGAGGAGAAGACGATGAGGCCAGAGCTGGACAAGGCCAGAGCTGGGAACAGGCAGGGCTGGGGGACAGGAGGCAAGCCAGATGTAAAGGACCGGGACCTCTCTCACGCAGAAGCTCGTCACGATTGATGGTAACAGTGATTCTGCAAAATGCGAACCGTGATCCCTTGCGTGCACCTGGCCCTTGCTTGTGCCAGGCGCCTGTTGGTACATCAGCCCCCATAATTAGTCCTGGGGGTCAGGGGGTCAGTGGGGTGGGTGGCCATGTACCTATCGCACATCAATGTAAATCCAGGCAAATGACCGTGTGCATCAGTGGACGAGGGCACCCACGGCCATGATCCCTCCCTTGTTAGTGGTTTGCAGCATCCTGTTCTCCTGTTCAAAGGCTCCTCGACTTACAATGGAGTTACATCCTAATAAACCCAGAAGTCGAAAATGTGCTGGACACACCTCACCTTCCAAATATCACAGCTGAGCCGGGCAGCACGCGTGTGATGCACCTGTGATGGCGTGGCCAATGGCACTGTCATACTGCACAGTGCCAATCTGGGAAACAGTCAAAAATCAAAATGAATGTGTATTGCTTTTTACTCCATCTGAAAACACCGTAATTCAGGGATCATCTGTACTCTATGTACAACTGAGAGCTCACGGGTCAGTGTGAGAACCCAGTGTACCTGGACACTGGTATGTGTGTGTCTGCTTTCCTCCATCCTCAGTCAGTCACGTCCACGTGACGCTCTACAGCCAGGTACACACATGCATGTTGCCCATACCCAGAAGTGGGCCACACTGGGTCATGCCCATCACACAGGTCAACACCTCCCTGTAAATTCCATGGCCGTCTGTATGATCTTCTGGACAACCAGGAACACGTGTGTAAGTCCACCCAGGAGCCATAAATATGTTATATATCTGGTTCTATTTAAGAACACCTGTGACCTTCCATGTATAACTCTCCACATCCACTCACATCCACCTGCCTGCATCCACGAGCATCCCTACACTCGTCTCAGTAGGAACGGACATCTGTATACCCTCTGTCAACTGCCCTCCTAGGTCTCCCCAGTGAACTCATTAGCATTGCAGTCAGTCCTGAAATATTCCTGCAGAATTTATGCTTTACTAATAAGCCTGATGTCCTGCTGAGGTCACATGGCACTCACAGGGCTAATGGAGGCAGCCTTGGCCAACAGGGTTGGGGAATCCAGGACTCCCGGAATGGCCAGAGAACACACTTACAAGAATGAATGAATTCCTCTTCCTTCTCACTGCACCAAATGTCTCAGTCAGTGTCTACCTGCAGAATGTAAGTCACTGTTCAAGATATGTTTATGGCCCCAACACGGCCCTGGCATCCTACTAAGGGCTACATCACTAGATTTGCCATTATACTGAAGATTGCATCACACACTACACTGAGGGCTGCATCAACAGACTTGGCATACTGAAGGCTGCATTCCCTTTGGGGCATTCCACCAAGGGTTGAGTCATCAGACCTGTCTTTACATGAACATGGAGTCATTCTTCCAGTGGTACTCCTGAAGGCCCTCATTGAGACTGAGCATTATACTGAAGGCTCCATAACTAGAAAGTGAAATTGAGAAGCAGCACCTTCCCTCAGCCCTGGTGACTCCTGTGTGGGGCTGAGAGATGGTCCTAAGGGGTCCAGGAGAATGGCCCAGTGGAGAAGCTGGAAACCTGGAGTCGTGCACTGGGGAAGGAAGCCAGAAGACAGAGGAGCACTAGGACATCGAGAGCTAGAACCTAACCCTGTTGAGCTCCTGGTGCTGAGGGAGCTGGGGAGACGCCCAAAGGGTAACTTGGGGCCCTTCACTGGAGCCCTGGAAGCTGCAGCTCCCGTCATGCTCAGCTCCCCTGCCCAGGGGCCCTGCCCACACATCCCTGGCCACTCCCTCCAGGAGAGATCTGCACCTGAGAGCACAGGCCTCTGCAGGACCAGGCAGCCGCTGTGCTGAGACAGCCCCGGCATGTGCCCCACGCGCCCCACTGCACCTCAACACCCTAGAGTGTGCCCCACATGCCCCGCAGTCCCCACGATGGCCATGTCCCCTAAGCTCAGACACCCTGGGTGGCATCAGATTCCCCTTACTCAAAGGTGCACACCTGCCACCAACACAAGCTCAGACACACCCGGACACGCCCTGCCACGCAGGGCCAGGCTCCGACACACACGCCCGTGTCCGAGCGAGCTTTGGGGTCCGGCAGGTCCCCAGCTTCTGCCCGGGTCTACACGCTGCAGATGCACTGCTAGGCAACAGGGAGAAGCTGTTATGAATTAACCATGGAGGCCGGGGAGCGCTTGGCCCTGCCACCGTCACTGGCTGCTGCCCTCCCAGGAGGCTGTGGGACCGCAGGGCGGGGGACAGGGCAGGCAGAGTGGCCCGCTTAATTAATTAGTCCTAATTGAGATATCTTTGCAAATATCCCTTTATTGAAGGACACGATTCCTTCCACCTGTTCCTTGGGAATTTGTCGCCTCTATTTGTGTCCAGCCCTTGAGTACCGCAGAAATGACAAGAAAGAGCACTCAAGGAGGCCACGGCTTGCACCTCGGCCACGCTCCCGATAATGACAGTGGCGCCCGGGGACAGGCGGGCGGAGGGGCTGGAGATCCAGAGATCCAGCGGAGAGACCGAGAGATAGCAGAGAGATGGGGGGCTGGGCCAGAGCAGGAGGGACACCCGGGCAGGCACAGAAACTTCCCACCAGGGAGGACAGACGTGGGCGCGGAGGGGCCGGCGTGGTGCGGTATCTCCCTCTGCCTTTCCCACCTCGCCCGGCCTCCTGGGCACAGACCCGCCACGGCAGCGACAATCAGGCCTGATTCCTCTTGGCCCTCGCAGCCTCCCCTTCCCTCTCCTCCTCTCCCTCCCCAGTCACTCCCGCAATCATCTCCCTTGTTCAAAACGAGCTGCTGCAGCTGTAGCCAGACAGCTGTTCATCTTGGAGCCAGTGCCCGGCCTGGTGGCTGGGTCCTAGAGGGACGCCCTCGTGGACGGCAGCAGGAGGGGGCATGGGGCTTGGCTCCCACCTCCACCCCAGCTGCCACCAGAGCTTGGCTCCCAGGCCCAGTGACTGCAGGGGTCTGGATGCCCCGACCAGACCATCGTTGGGGCCTTCCTGGTCTTACGCACCCCTGGCCCGCCACGTCCCACCCACCGCAGCCTTCCTGACACCCGACACGTCCTCGCTCAGGAGCCTCTCAAGTCCGAGAATTCCAGTCTGTTCCACACCCTCCACCCCAGCCCTGCCAGGGTCCCGTGGTAATATGCAGACGGAACCCCAGACAGACAGATGGACAGACATGTAGGAGACAAAGGTGGTGACATCCAGAGGCAGAGATGTCAGAGAGACAGAGACACATAAGACAAAGACAGAATGAAGCAGATTGTGTGTGTGTGAGAGAAACAGAGAGAGAGGGAGAGAGAGAGAGGGGGGGGGGTTGGGGCTCAGCAAGCATGAGGGTTCAGTTTGATCCCCAATACTGAAAAAAAAAACAGAAGAGAGAGAGGATGACAGAGATAAAGACACACAGACACACACAAGGACACACACAGACACACACACACACACACACATGATCAGCAGTGGACACTCAGCAAACATTTAAGGAGTATTTACCATTTGCTGTGAATACATAGTAAAGTTAGCAAGAAATAAACACTGTGAGCCAGGCACCCCTGAGGACCCAGCTACTCAGGAGGCTGAGGCAGGAGGATCACTTGAGCCCAGGAGCTTGAGGCCAGCCTCAACATAGTGAGACCCAGGACTGTTAAAAAAAAAAACGAAGAAAGAAAAAAGGACATCTCTGACCATTGAGATAGAGATGGGGGTGCAGAAGTTCAAAACCTCGGCACTGAGGCTGAGACAGAGAAAGGCGGAGCCAGGCCGACCCCACGCCTATTCCCCTGTCCCTCTGCCTGTTTTCCCTCCATCCTGGCCTCCTAGCAGCTGCCTCTTCCCTCGGAGCTAGAACTCACCCAAGCCCACGCCCAGCCATTCCAAAGCCCCCACCCCCCACCCCAGGCTCCCCAGAGGGTGGTCTTCCTTCCCTGCAGCCAGACAAGGGAGGTGCAGCAGCCTTCCAACTGGCCCTCTAGATAGACATCACTGAGTCCCGGTGGCCTCACCGTCCCTTCCTGCCCCACTCAACGTGGCATCGGAGCACCCAGACCAACTCCCTTTATGCCCTGGACACGGCTGACATTCGGGGTGCCCCATGCCCCTCCTGACACACTGCCCCCGGCCCTCACGGCCCTCTTCCTCTCCTCTGCTGGCGGGTCCCTGCCCTCCTCCCAGGAGCACTTCCTTCTCGGCTGGAAGACTCGGTGAGGAGCTGGGGGTGCAGCTCAGGGGTGCAGCTCAGGGGTGCAGTGGGCACTCACATGCCACAGGAGGGGCGGGGGACTCTTAGGCATCGCCACCTCCAGGAACCCGCCAGGCTGGTTTCAGTGCCTCCTCTCGCTCCCACAACCTCCCAGAAATATCCCTGTCACTAAACAAACCTCGTCATGTCACAAGTCATGCTGATGAGACTGTGATCCAATTGAAGTCAGAGACCTTGTTCTGTGTGCGTGTGTGCGCGTGTGTGCATGCGTGTGTGTGTGTGTGTGTGTGTGCGTGTGTGTGTGTGTGTGTGGTGCTGAGATGGGACCCAGTCTTCACACGTGCTAGGCAAGTCACCCTCCTGTCCCATACTCTGGAACCCTTGCCACTATGAAGCAGGTGCTCAACCAGCATCGCCTTGCGCGTGGGGGTCCTGAGCAGAAGTCAGGAGCCATGACCTGGGCAGGAGCTTGAGCCCAGGAGCTTGAGGCCAGGCACAAGGTGGACATGGCCGATGGAAGCCAATTCCAAACGCCTTCTCCTTCTCTTGGCCTTGACTCTGGTCCAGCTCTATCATCACCCACCTGGAGAAGTGCAGCCACCTCTGCCCTGGTCTCTGGGCTCCTCCCTTGTGTCCCCGCCAGTCGGCCCTTCCCAGAGGCCCCAGCAGGCAACTGTGAGCCCTAATCCCATCCCTACCCATCCAGAACCCCCCAGAGCATCCCATCCAGTCACCATGTATTCATTTAACAAGTACTTATTGGACACCTACTATGTGCTTTGTTCCAGGTTGGGCCTCAAATAGTGTACAAAGACTGACTTTTAAAAGTCCCTGCCCTATGGCCATGCTATGTAGCAGGGGGATCTAACAAGACTAAAGCCTGTTACAAGGTGACAGTGCCATAGCGAGGAAGCAGCGGAAGGAGTGGAAGGAGGTGGGAGGGTGTGTTACATCTCAAGTCCTGGCACAGCCCTCAAACAAGGTATGGCTCCTGTCATCTCCTTCCTCTCCCCTCCTCTCGCTCTCCCCTCCCCCACTCTGCAACTGCTCCATGGGCCTCCAAAGCC